ATCAGGTACAACACTTAATGATAGTCATAGGATACAATAAGCAATCAAATCATACTAGGAAGCAGTCCATATAAGTCGTAAGGATACAAGCGACAAAGTTACAATCCTACAGTCACAAGTGGGAGGGGATGGGGGATAAGGAGCGATGAGAAGATTAATAGTAATAGTAGTGCAGGCTTTGTAAATAGTTGGACAGTGTTGAGGGAATTATTTGTTTAGCAGAGTGATGGCATTCAGGAAAAAAACTTGTGTCTAGTTGTTCTGGTGTGCTGTGCTCTATAGCATCGTTTTGAGGGAAGGAGTTGAAACAGTTTATGTCTGGGATGTGAGGGGTCTGTAAACATTTTCACAGCCCTCTTTTTGACTCGTGCAGGATACAGGTCCTCAGTTGAAGGCAGGTGGGTAGTAATTGTTTTTTCTGCAGTCCTAATTCTCCTCTGAAGTCCGTGTCTGTCCTGTTCGGTTGCAGAACCAAACCAGACAGTTGTAGGGGTGCAGATGACAGATTCAATAATTCCTCTGTAGAACTGGATCAGCAGCTCCCTGGGCAGTTTGAGCTTCCTGAGTTGGTGCAGCATATTGGAAGGCTGCTATCATGTCACCCTCCGGTCCTTCTTTTCATCAGACTAGACATACCCAATTCCTGCCATGGTTCTTTGTAAGTTTTAGTCCTCTAATTGTCTTCGCTGAATAAACGTCTTCCTCTTCAAACAGTATCACTGGCTCAGACTGGCACAGCGTGTTCTTCTGACATGCTGGTTCGAGGTGATGAAAGATGGAGTTTTAACCTCTTGAGGGGCTCCAGTTGAGAAGATCTCCCAATGGGCCAAGTCCCACAGAGGGCCACCTGAAGCCTCATAGCCAGGGATGTGAATCAGGTGTAGGACTGCCACGCAGCAGGTAATGCAAAAGGTGAGCTGTGCTGAGCTGGCTTTGGGAGGTTTCCGGACCTACCACCTATCTCACCAAGCTTCCATCAAGCCTTGAGGGTCCCAAGGAAAGCAGGTGTGTGAACTCTACCTTTACTCTTCAGTACCTGGGAAGCGGGGAAAATCCGGAGGATAGTAGGAAGTTAGAACTAAGCCAGGATGCCTCATACAAGCGGCCTCCAATTTCGCCTTTGTGTTTCGGTTCAACGCTGTCCTTGTCAGTCTGAAAAGAGGGGAAACAAACCAAAGCATCATAATTTCGGACACTCTCCAGAACAGGGGTGGCCAACCTTTTGGACCTCAGGGACCCCCAAAATCATCATTTTAAATCCCACGGACCAAGAGACCCTGGGAAAATCCCCCCAAAAGTCTACAGGAAAATTCCCCACCCCGTTTTTCCTACCGATTGATCATTCTTTTATTTGGGATCGCAGGATACCGTCTCCAGCTCTGTTCTCCGGGGGTGGGGGAGGGGGAGAGAAAGAGAGACTTTTGGCTTTAGGCAAGGAAAACAGCAGAAGCCGCAAAAGTCTTTCTTTCTCTCCCCCAAACTCCTCCAGAAAAGAGTCTTTGCAGCCTCTTGGAGCAGGAGGACTTGTAGGGTCCCAAAAACTCATTTCTGGCGGAGTTTGCGGGAGAGAAAGAAAGACTTCTGCCGCTTTGCTTCCGTGCAGCCAAAAGCAGAAGAAGAAAGAAGCGGAAAGAAGCAGCCCGGTGACCAGGCCAGGCGCGTGGGGCAAGAGGGGCAAGTTCTCCCCCCTCCACACTTTCCCCCCTCCCCTCACTACCTCGTGTTGTGCGCAATGCAAGCGATGCAAGCCTTGGATTCCTGCGGGCCATGTGGGCGGCACAACCTGGATTCATTGCTCTGGGGGTGACATTTCTCTGCGGACCACCAACATTTTCTCACAGGCCACCAGTGGTTCCCGGCCCACGGGTTGGCCGCCACTTCTCCAGAACACAAATTGGCTTGCAAATCTCTGCACTTCAGCAGTTCTGCAGGGAGTTGCGGGGGTCAACTTGTTTTCCAAACCACCTGAGGCAGGACAAGAAGCAATGGATGGAAACGGATCAAGGAAGTTGGACTACTTCATCCCTGGAAACTTTCAAGAAGAGACTGGACTGCCATCTGTCAGAAATGGTGTAGGGTCTCCTGCCTGGGCAGGTGGGGGGGGTTAGACTAGATGACCCACAAGGTCCCTTCCAACTCTTTGTTAATCTGGTAATCAGCCAAGAAGACCTCCAGAGTCCCTTCCAATTCTGTTATTCTATTCAAAGGAGAGAAGCAACCTGGAATTAAGGAGGAATTTCCTAACAGCGAGGACAGTTAACCAGTGGAACAGCTGGCCACCAGAAGCTGTGGCCGCTCCATCCCTGTAGGTTTTTAAGAAGAGATTGGGCAACCCTCTGACTGAAATGCTATAGGATCTCCTGCTTGAGCAGGGGGATGGTCTAGAAGACCTCCAAGGTCCCTTCCAACTCTGTTATTCTTACTCGATTATTCTGTTATTCTTACTCAATTGTTCTGTTACTCATTCTGTTACTCTGTTATTCTATTTGTCAACTAAAAAAATACCCCTTTGGTCTTTTTAGTCGCCAGCAGAAAGGGAATGGGGGAAAACAGTGCATTCCTTAAATGCCTCGGATAATCGCCTTGGCAGCCGAAGCTGTTGGCACACAAGATTATTACTGGAGAGCCTGATTGATGACTCTTGGCTATGGATGTGACCCATTGGAGAATATACATCCAGGGGGTGGAAGGGGAAGACCAGGGTCAAGGGGGAAATGAACGATGTGTCTCAGGGTCGGCTGCATCCAGGAAATGCCGACATGGTCACTCCTAATAAATCTTCTTTAAACTCTGAGAGATGCGGCTAGAGACTCATGATTTGAATAGAGGTGGATTTGTCAGAGCCCTGACACTGTTATTCTGTTATTCTCTTACCCCGTTATTCTGTTGTTCTGTTGTATTATCCTGTTGCTGAGAAATGGTCAGGCTTTGGGGCAAAGATCTGACAGTTCTGACAGCTTGCAGATCCTCTGATGCCCATCGCTTTGAGCTGGAGGGTTGAGGGCACCAACTGCTGAGCCGGGCAGGATAAATTCAGGAGCCACGTGGCCTTGTTTTGGAAGCTGATACGGGTATTATCGCCCCACCAGCCAGGTTGGTTGGGAGACCTCTTGGCAAAGCGTTCTGCAGAGATTAAATCATCTTTATTTCCGTAGACGCTCTTGGGAGACTGGGAAACTCAACTCTTTGGGGCTGGAAGTCAAGAGTCCATTGAAGATGGCAAAGATGCCTCCACTCAAGGCTCAAAGGACTTTATTTTGGTCGTTGACCAAGGTCCACTCGGAAAAAAAAAAATGGGCTCAGCAGAAGCCAAGCTAAATGCGAAAGGCCAGGGCATTGTTCCTGATGATAACAGAACAACAAGAGTTAGAAGAGACCTCGGAGCCAGGGCTGGGTTTCTACCGGTTCTGTCCACCTCGGTAGAACCGGTAGCTCTGAAGAGCAGCAGACATAGAACCGGTTGTACGTCTGCTGATGTTTTTGCCCACCCGCCCACCTGGGGTCTTACCTGATCTTTATTTCCTGATTTTTTTCAACATCAGCTGCCGAACGAAGCCACAGCTGCAGTTAAAAAAAGCAGGAAAACAGGGCTGTTTCAAAGGCTGCGTCTCTGAATGCAGACTGCTGATGACAGTTTACAGGTGCGCGGCTCGCAGCGTGCAGGGAAGCTCGCAAATCCCAAACTGGTAGTTAACCCTGTCGTATCCCACCCCTGCTTGGAGGCCCTTTCAACTCTTTTTAAATAATTATGTATTGTTATTTATCATATTCCTACTGGAGTGGTGCGGTGGCTTTGAGGTGGAGCTCTGGCCTCACAATCAGGAAACTGTGAGTTCGATCCTGTGTGAGAATGATCCTAGAGGCAGATATTTCTCTCTCTGGGCACGATGAGAATATATCTGATGAATATAACTCTGCATTGGCGACAGGAAGGGCATCTGGCCAGTAAACACTCTGTGGCTCCGTTCAGTTGCCCAGACTCTGAGAAGGAGGAGGAGGAGGAAGAAGAAGAGGAGGAAGGAGAAGACTGAGGGTGCTATCTGAGACTGGGTGGTTTTCTTGCAGACATTTCATGACCAAACTAGGTAATATCATTAGTGCTAAAAGGGAGTGGAGCTTGCAGAGAATAGTAGGAGGAAGAGGAGGAGGAGAAGGAAGAAGAAGAAGAAGAAGAAGAAGAAGAAGAAGAAGAAGAAGAAGAA